GGCAGCCTAGTCAGCAGAACCAAATCAGTGGGGGCCTGGTCAGAGGGCACTAGGTCAGTGGTGGCAGCTTCTGTTGCACTTGTCTGATCAGTGGTGACCTGGCCAGTGGGGATCTGAGCAGTGGGTGCCTGTTCAGTGGGGCCTACTCAGTAGGGTCCAGGTCAGGGAGCACTAGGTCACCTCAGGCCTGGTCAGTGGCAGCCTGTTCACTGGAGGCCTGGTCAGTGTGCTCTCATCTGTGGGGCCTGGCAGTGGGGCCCTGATTGGTGAAACCTGGTCAGTGGTGCCTGGTTCATAAGAACCTGGTCAGCTAGGACCTGGGCAGTGGTGCCTGCTGAGTGGGGTTCTGGTCAGTGGGCCTGATAAGTGGGGTCCTTGTCATTGGGGGCCTGGCAGTGGGCACATAGTCAGTGGGGCCTTGTCAGTAAGGACCTGGTCAGTGTGGCCTGGTTGGTGGAGGCCTGGTCATTGAGAGCCTGGAAGTTGGGGCCTGGTGGTAGGGCTTGGGGAAGGGGGTGTAATCAGTGAGAACGTGGTCAGGGAGGACCTGACGTGTGGAGTCTGGTCAGGAGGGACCTGGTCATGGGGGTGACTGAGCACTGCTGCAAGAGCCAGGGGCAATGTGGGTTATCGAGGGCCCTGTGGACAGCTGGGCTGGCCCAGTGGTGCTCAGCAGCCAGTTAAAAGTGCACAAGGCAGGTGTTTGGACGGACTTGGGAGCTCTTGCACAGAGATTCTGACAGGACAAAGGTAAAGGAAGGGCCAGAGTGGCCAGAGAGATGGCCAGAGTCTATGGGCTGCACAGGATGGAGGAAGCCAGGGAACACACAGGGTGGGCTGCTAGGGTGCAGGGAGAGGCAGGTGCATGCTGGGAGGTCAGGCACTGTGAGGATTCTGGGAGCATCAGATGAAATGGGCTCCAGGTGCACCCTCAGTGCACTGGGCAGGTCTCAGGCCAGGCTACCTAGACTCCTGCCTGGTGATGTGGTCACTCCCTGGGGGACTGCTGTCAGGCCTCAGCCACCCACCCTGGGCAGCACCGTCCCCTCTCAGGACTGGACTTTCTCAGATTCTGCAGAAAGCACAGCCTCCAGCCCAGGAGATGCAACCCCAGTGTGCAGCGTGAGCTCTCTATGGGCCTGGAGCCTCCCCTGCTAGCCCTGAGCTCCCTCTTCTCTTAGGTCTTGCTTTCTCAGTGTCAGCAAAGAGGCCCCATTCTCCCTTCCCTAGGTGGTCTCCTGGGCTTGGACTTGGGGTGGATGGGGCCAGGGGTGGTGTTCCCCTTGGCCCACTTAGGAGGGGACTGGCTCCCAGCCTGGTGCAGGTCCTGAGTTCTGCTTTGGTTTCCTTACAGTGACATGGACCTGCCCCTGTCAGTGGCCTGGTGGTTAAGGTAAGAGACTGTCCCTGCTGTGTGGGAGGCTGGTCTAGGGATGGACGACAGGATGGAGGTAGGGGGGCAGCTTGTGTGCACATTTGGTGAAAGCGGAAGTGACACACCATTCCTGGGATACACCATGGTTTCTGCTAAACCTGATCCCAGGACTCTGTCCCTTAGGTGGTTTTACCAAATCCAAAACCCAGAACTGCAGTTGTGGCTCAGGGATCAGCACCCACTAGTGCCAGGACACTGCTGGAGGCTGGTACCCGACAAAAGCTCATGGGATCTGTGACCTGAGAACAGCATGTCTTGCTTGGAGTCATGAGGCCAGGCCACCAATTTCCACTGGGTCAGAGAGTCTCAGCCCCAGGGTGTGGCCTTCCCTGGCTCCTTCTGTCTCAGTCCTGTCAGCACTCTGGAACCCAAGACCCAGGTTCCAAGAGCTACTCCAGGAATCCTGGCAGCTCAGCTGACATTATCGTGTTTCAATCAGGTAAAAATGTCAGGTGAGATGCACAGAAAACTGGCTCAAAGTGCTTAATGGCTGGAGGAAATCTAGGAGCACAAGAAGGTCACGTGGAGAGGGCAGGGCCTCCACGACTGCTGTCTGCACAGCCAGGGATACAGGCACCCAGTGCTGTGGCCTGACACCACCTGCCTCTCAGATGGTGGGTGGCACACTGTCCTTACCTGGAGGACAGCAGGCCTGGGCACCAGCTTTTCTATCTGTCCCTGCAAGCATCACTCTCATGCCAGGGCCTGGACCACCCCTAGCTCAGGGATTAGGGGTACCTCTTGGTGACCTAAAAGAAAAAATAAGTCTAGATCAGAGCTCCCAACCCGAGCACTCACCCACTCTTTTAGTTACGGAGGGGAGGCCTGGTCCTAGGTAGACCTAACCACTTTGTGGGACCATGGAGCCCAAGGCTGGAAAAGTACAGAATCCTCAGGCCCCAGTCCTCCCTGGGGTCAGCCTGTGGCCTGTCTCAGGGATCTCATCTGAGATATTTGCATTTTCCTGGGGTATTTCCATATGTAGGTTTTACTAAAAAATTTGCTAAAAGCTCAGATGACCTGAAAAGCTCACTGCTTATTTACTGCACTCTGTGGTCTGTCTGGTGCTCTTCCGGGGCCGGGGCTGCTGTAGGCGGCAGGCGGCCTCCGCACCCGCGACCTCAGAAGCACTGCGGCGGCGGGGTGGCGGGAGACGCGCGTGCGGGCAGCTGGCGCCCCCGACGGCGAGCCGGGGTCCGGGAGGGTGCCCCCGCTCCCGGATGGTCCCGACCTGGCTCCAGCCTGGCAGCTGGAGACCGAGCTGGAGCTGGGATTCGGGGAAGAGCTGGGGGTGAGGGGTGGGTACACGTCACACATCGGGGAAGGGCTGGGTCGCTGGGGATGGGCAGAGAGGATGCAGCCTCTCTGGCCAGGATGGACTCTAAGGGATCGGTGGGGGGGTGGCCTGGGAGGACTGGGATCACTAGGAGCAAAACGGAAGGCTAAGGATGGAGTAGAGCGGCGAGGTCCCGGGACGGCGGGGGCGGGGGGAGGGGGTGCAGGCGGGAATGCTTGGAATCTGGGGAGCAGGTAGGAGAACTGGGGTTTCTAACAGCAGGGTGGAAAGCTGGGGATGGGGCTGGCGAATGCAACCTCCTCCACAGCCTCCACCCCACTCCCAGACCCCCAGCACTGACAGTGAGCTCTGGTTAAGAGCAAGGCTCCAGAATCAGGCCCTCCTGGGTTCAAATCCTGGCTCCAGTGTGTGCTAGCTGTGCAGCTGCATCACTCAGTTGCTCAGTTTCCTCATCTGTGATACGGCGATGATGAATGCTCACAGCCACCACCTCATAGCAATGTCGTGAGGCTCCCGTGAGTTAATCTGAGTCAAGCACTTGGCACACCTGGCAGGCAGGCTCAGAGCTCTGCAGCTGCTCCTTAGCGATTCTTATTTGGGGTTTCTCTCTCCAGCGTCTGGATTACTGCCCGTCTTCAAGAAGACCTCCCTGCCCTCCTGCCTATCTCCCCCAGAGAGCTGCCTGATCACCTGCCATCCTCCCTGCCATTCCTGCTGTACCTGTGGGGAGCTGATCTCCTCAGTCCCCCCACTTTTCCCCTGTGTGCTGTCACCACCCCACCACCATGCACTCCCTTTCTGGCTGCTGATCTTGCTGCTGTCTGCTCCTGCTGTGCTCCTTGGGAGTCCAGGGGTCCCTGGGGGCCTCCAGCGCTGCCCCAGAGCAAGTCCATCTGTCTTACCCAGGTAAGTGTCCCTGACCCC